GAGTCCAAGATCTATTCTAAGTGGAATAGAAAAGCAGGGGGGAAAAAGTACAGAATGGTATGTATCGTACCATGTCTACATTTGGGTAAGAAAGGGAAAGGTTACATATTGTTTGTACCTGCATTGTCTATTTCTGGGAATACACAGAAAATACAGTAACCTGCTGGGGGGAACTGAGTGGCTGGGAAGCAGGATGAAGTTAGGAAGCGAGAAACTCTTCACCTACACCCGGTACCTCTGAATTTTGTATATTGTGCAAATATCTATTCAAATAAATGTAAATACATTTTGAACAAATTCTATGGCACTTTTGGAAATACAGATGCAGAACCCCACTCCCGATATTCTGATTACTGAGGTCGGAGAGGAGTCGCCATATATGCACGAGAACAACAGCAATAATTCCGTACTCTGTTCGTGGAGCGCTCACGTCACTTCCACGTACATTATGGCACTGCGCCCTCGCGAAGGTTTGTTACCTCCGTTTGCAGATGACGAAACCGAGGCTCAGAGTGTCTCCCCGCCCCCACCCGGGCCACGGCGCCTCCTCGTCCCGGCCGCCCCGCCCTCGCCGTCTTGCCAGCGGGCGGCCCTCGGGCGCCCCTCGCAGGCCTGTCAGCGCTCTTTCCGGGGGGTGAGGCTGGGAGGGTGTTCTCTGGTTTGCAGAATAAAGCGGCCTTAAGCTGGGGGACAGAGCCTGGACTTGTGTGCATGTGCGAGTATGTGTCCCTGTGAGAAAAAGTGTGTGAAGTTCAGGACTATGTCTAATTGTGTGAGTCTGTTGTATGAGTGTGTGCTTGTGGTGTGAGTGTGGACTCTGTAGGTGTGTTAGGGTTAGGGTGTGTGTGTGCATGGGTGGAATGCGGGTGTTTGTGTCTGCACACATGTGTGTGCAAACATGTGTGTACATGTGTCCCAGCACTGGGCAGTCTCCATCCTTGACTCTGTTCAGCTCTCGTGTCACCTCCTCTGTGAAGCCACCCTGACTTCCTCCCTCACTCACAATGCTCCGTCTCTCCTGGTGCCCATCTGTGTCCTGAACACAACTCCACCGCCCCTCCTGACACACATTATTAAACCTAACTGCTGGCATTCCTGTCTCTCCCTGGTCTGGGCAGGGACCTGGGCAGGTGACCTCACACCCTCAGAGTCCGGCGTGGGAGAAAGCACATGCGGGGGCTCGATCCACACTTGTGTCTGTGTCTGTGGGTGTCTGCTGTCACCTGAGCGGCTCTGTATGTGTCTGAGGGTGTCGGAGTGTGTGCATTTGCAGGGCTGGGGACGGATCTCGTCTGACAAAGCTGAGTACACCTGTTCTGTTTGGATCCTGGAGGCCTGTTGTCCTTCTCCCAGTTTTGTCACCCATAGGCCTCCTGCTCAGGGCTGCCTGACCCTGTGACGAAGGGCAGATCACCTCTCACGTGGTCACTCATGGAACCAGGGTCAGCCAGACTGCTTTCCCTCTTTGACCTGATTTCAGGTCAAAGTTTCTGTCCCTCCACTGGATAGGACAGGGGCTGCTTTGGGGCACCACCCTCTACCTCCTGTTGGCCACTTGGGACTCGGATCTCTGAGATTCTCGTCCTCCCAACTGGTCCTGGAGTCAGTCAGAAATTGCCAGGCTAACCTTAAACATCCCATGTCTCTCTCCAACCCCCAAGCCTGAGTCCCCAGTCTCTGAAGTCTATTCTGGTCCCTCTGGTTACAACTTTTATCTATCTTTATTTGTTCTGTCTTCTATATATACAGAGCCTAGGACCCCAAACTCATTCCACCTTGGGAAGTCCTTCCTATCGTGTAACCTCTTTCTTTCCCAACCAGAGTCTGAGGCTTCTCCCCTTCTCTTCCACTGAAACAGTCCCGAGAGGAAAGGAACAGAGCTTAGTGGTTACAGCTCAGGCTCTGGAACCATACTCTCTGGGCCCAAATCCCAGCTCCACCACTGACAAGATTTTCAGCCCCAGACAAGTGTATCAGGCAGGGTTCCATGAGGAAACCGAGGGATCTCTGAAGTTAAATAATTTGAGGAGTGTTTCATAACAGGATTATATACAAAGGTGCGGGCAGGGTGTTGCTAAACCGCAAGGAATAGTGCGTTACCCCAGATCTAGGAACAGTGGGCTTAGTGACCACCCTTAGGAGCCCAGGGGATGGGGAAAGAATGGTTCCTAGAATCTGGAGAGGGCCCCCTGGCAGGGGCTGGGACCTCCAGCAACCTGACAGGGGAGAGGGGCAGGTAAATGCCCAGCCTCCCTCTCCTCCGTCTCATCTCCTATTGGTGCCCCTCTCCACTGGCCAAGCCCTACCGAAGCCATGGGGCAAGGCCTTCAGCCTCCTGGCCCCAGAGCAGAGTTGGAGAAAGGTAGAGAAAGGATTTGGAGTGGCAACAGAAGATGCCCAGCACAGCCTGCTAGCCTCAGTTCCCTCGTCTGTAAAACAGGCCATCAGTCCAACCTTCCTTCTAGGTTGTCATGGTGATAAAGGAGAAGATGCACATGAGGCATTGAATGCTGTACCAGCACACAGTAAATGCTCCATGAACAGGTCCTACTGTCTGCCTATTGATTTTTTTTTTTTTTTTTTTTTTTTTAATGGATCCTTTTTTTTTTTTTTTTTTTTAAAGATTTTATTTATTCATTTTTTTCCCCCCAAAGCCCCAGTAGATAGTTGTATGTCATAGGTTCACGTCCTTCTAGTTGCTGTACGTGGGACTCGGCCTCGGGTTGGACGGAGAAGTGGTGCCTTGGGGCGTGCCTGGGATCCGAACCCGGGCCGCCAGCATCAGAGCGCGCGCACTTAACCGCTAAGCCACGGAGCCGGCCCCCTGCCTATTGATTTTAATGATTAATTAGCATCTCAAACTTAGCCTGTCTAAAACTGAAATCTTGAATGTCCCTCCCCTCCCCACAAACCTATTTCCTCCCTAGTCTCAGTGAGTGGCGGTACCATCTACCCAACTGCTCAAGCCAGACTCCTCAGCAGCATCCCCATTCAGGGGATGGAAGCCTCCCTCTCCCTCTCCCCACACCTCACTGTCACTCCACACTGTCTGCTCTTCTCCAAATACATCTCAAATCTGTCTCCCCTCTCTCCACTGCCACTATGCTAGTCCATCACCTCCCACCTAGATTACTCCTAAAACCCCTCACCTGTTGCCCTGCGCCTGCTCTCCATTCCCACCGCCAGCCAGAGGGCTTGAAAGCATCAGTTGGATGTCACTCCCTTGGGTAAACCCACTGCCCTCCAAGGCCCTGTTTCAGTCTCCAGTTTCATCAGGGATCAGTCCCCCGCACTCCAGGCACGTGGCCTCATGGCAGCTTTCCCTCTCTTTAGCACCATGCTTTTTCCTTCCTCAGAGCCTCGGCATGCATTATTTCCAACCCCACGGAAAACTCCTTGCTCCCAATTGTCCCCACTGGTTTCTTCTCATCCTTCAAATCTCAGCTTAAATATGATCACTTCCAAGAGGCCTTCCCAAACCACATCATGTAAAATACATTCCCCACCCTTCTCCCCATTGGCTTCTCTGTTCCAGCACCCTGATCGATCCCTTAATAGCACTTAAAGTTTGTAGTTATAGATTTATTTGTTTGATACGTGTTTATAGTCTGTCTCCCCACCACACTGTAAATTCCACAGGAAGGCAAATGCCCTGTCTGTTTTGCTCACCACTGTATCCACAGGACCTGGCACACAGCAGGTGCTCAATAAATATTGGAGAGTAGGCAATGAGCAAATGGTAGCCAACGTTATGGTGATGGTGACGCTATCAGAGCCCCTCCAGAGAGCCTCACACTGTCAAAGTGCTCCCCATCCCCTTTCCTCAGGCTCTGGGCTCTACCCTAAATTCCCTGCTCCTAGCTTCATCTAGGGCGGACTTCAGTAAAGTACAAAAAAAAGGCGCCACATCACTGGCAAAAAAATCTCTATTCAGGTTGATGACCAGACAATGTGAATGGATTGAAAATTTATCAGGAAAAATGGATGAGAGAGGAAAAACGCCAAAAGACAGGGGCAGAGAGCCAGCAGCTCTGGGGGAGGGACTCTGTGTGGGGACAGGGGCAGCCTACTGGGTGTGCCCCTTTTCTTTTGTCTGGCTTTCTTAGATAAGACCAGCAGTTTTGTCATCCCCTCTCCCTCTCTCTTCACAGCCACCGCAGCCTCAGTCCCACACTTTGAAAGCATGTCGATCCGGGACAACAAACAACCCCAGCAATTTTGGTCATGGATCTCTAAGTCCCAAAAGGATTTAGCGAAGTCCATTCTGTCTGGGGCTCCAGGAGGTAAGAAAGGGCAACAGAAACCATTGAACAGAGGGGGAAAATAAGGATGGAAATCAGGAGGAGGGGTACAAATGATCAATATCTGCTGCTGGCTAGGAGGGGTTTGGGAAGGATCTATGTTCATCCGAGTCTCTCCTGTGTCAAGTTAGACCCTGGTCTGGGCCTCTTCTCCCAGCCCTTATAGACAGGGCAGAGCAGAGGGGAGCCTACAGCATGGGGCCATGGGGCAGAGCAGAGAAGAGCCTGCAGCTTGGGGCCACAGGGCAGAGCAGAGGGGAGCCTGCAACATGGGGCCATGGGGCGGAGCAGAGAAGAGCCAGCAGCTTGGGGCCACAGGGCGGAGCAGAGGGGAGCCTGCAACATGGGGCCATGGGGTGGAGCAGAGAAGAGCCTGCAGCTTGGGGCCACAGGGCG